GTTATTCTCGAATGAGAATAGCTGAATTGATCGCTTTACTAGATAATAATGATGATGATAATGTTGATATTGTTATGATGTTGAGAATAAACAACAAGAATTAATATTTGTACCCATATCCTCCGACGTTGGTAAATATCTAAGAGGTTGGAAGATGGATATTAATTCCAACATGGATGTTAACGATATTAAGCCCATTATATCGAGTAAAATTAACGAGGAGTTAGGTGATTTACATAGTATAAAATACCAGCTGACGATTAAAATGTTATTGAGTAAAAGTAACACAGATGATAGCACCGAATATACCGAACCATATTTCCGAAGCAATCAAGAAGTTATAACCGAATCCGATACTATAAACACATCATTAGATACATCAATTCAGAGGATACAGGAAACTTTAGAATGCTGGACTAATAAAGGTTCGGGTTGGGGTGTGGATAAAATCGATAGTTTATATTTAGATATAGCAAATTATATGCCCTTCAAAGGTGGTTCTTATATAGATTTACCCCCATATTATAAGAAGAAAAAAGCCATAATTAATGTAAAAAATAAATCTGATGACTGTTTAAGAATGATGATAAGATCTGCATTGTTCCCTGTAGACAAGCATCCGGATAGACCTTCTAGCTATCCCCAAAACGATGGACTCAACTTCGATGGTATAGACGAACCTACACCAATATCACAAATTGATAAGGTGGAAAAGCAAAATAATTTAGCTATAAATGTTTTCGGACATTCTAAAGGAATTGTTGTACACAGGATAAGCTATGCTCCGGAACATATCCCCAGAATCTATTCATTTCTGATCGAAAAAGATGGTAAATATCATTATACGTGGATAAAGAGTTTAAACAGGCTATTATACGATCAAACAAAACATAAGGAAAAGAAATATTTCTGCGAAAGATGCCTACATGGGTACAGCAGACAAGATCTATTAGAAGCGCATAAAGAAGACTGTAGAGGTGTTGGACAGAATGCTATCAGGATCGATATGCCTAAAGAGGGAAAAAATATATTAAAATTTGAACATTATTGTAATCAAATGCCAGTACCGTACGTAATTTACGCCGACTTCGAAGCGCTTATCAAACCCATAGAAAATACCAACCATAATAATCAAGATAGTAGTTTTACGTACAAAACTCAAGAACATATTCCTTGTGGGTTTGGATATATCGTTGTAAGGTATGATGGGAAAACAAACCCGCCCGTGATTTACAGAGGTCCCGATGCAGCGGGAAAGTTCCTAGAATATCTACAAAATGAAGAGAGAATAATCAGGGAAAAATTATCGTGTAAGAAACCCATGTGTATGAGGAGGGATGATTGGAGGGCCTATAAGAAGTCAACGAGTTGTCATGTTTGTAATAAACCCCTGGATGGGGATTCCGTAAGAGATCATTGTCACGTCACGGGTAATTATCGGGGGGCCGCTCATAACGAGTGTAACTTGAAACTAAAAATGAATTCTCAAACAATACCCATCCCCGTTGTGTTTCATAACCTTAGGGGATACGATTCACATCTCATTATGCAAGCTATCTCAAAAACCGACGGCAGTTTAACGTGCATTCCTAATAATATGGAAAAATACATATCGTTCTCGTTGACTAAACCTATACATTATAGGGACAAGGATGGGAAATCTAGAATAAAGCAAAGTAATGGGCTTAGATTCATAGACTCCGTACAGTTTCTGTTATCTTCCCTGGACAATTTAGCTAATGCGAACAATCCCGATGACTTTGCAATAACAAATCAATATACCGATAAGATAACTCGTCACTTGTTGCTGAGAAAAGGTGTATATCCTTACGAATATATGGATGATTGGTCTAGATTCGAAGAAACCGAATTACCACCCCTCGAATCATTCTATAGTAACTTAACAGAATCTAGAATAACAGATGCAGATTATGAACACGCTCTGACGGTCTGGGATAAATTAGGTTGTAAGAATTTAGGCGATTATCACGATCTGTACTTAAAAACCGATGTGCTGTTACTCGCCATTATATTCGAGATATTTAGAAAGACATGTTTAAAACAATACGGCTTGGACCCGGCATGGTACTATTCCAGTCCTGGACTATCGTGGGATGCATTGTTGAAGAAAAACTCACTCACAGATTACGATATGCACTTGTTTATTGAGAAAGGATTAAGAGGTGGTATATTGATGGCAGCGAAAAGGTATTCTAAGGCTAATAATAAATTAGTGGAAGGATACGATCCGAGTAAACCCAATACACACATATTATATCTCGACGCCAAAAATTTGTACGGATGGGCTATGAGTCAACCTTTACCCACAGGTGGTTTTGAGTAGTTTGATGATATCCATAATATCAATGTGAATGATATCAATAATAATGATGCGAATAAAGGGTACATACTAGAAGTTGACTTGGAATATCCAACTTCGTTACATAAAGACCATAACAGTTATCCGCTAGCTCCCGAAAGATTAATGGTTAATAAGGATTGGATGTCGGAATATCAACACTCCTTGATGGGTAATAGTAGGTTAGCTAATGTAGAAAAACTCGTACCAAATTTGATGGATAAGACAAAATATATAGTTCACTACAGAAATCTCCAGTTGTATCTATCGTTAGGTATGAAACTTAAGAAAATACACAGAGTTCTAAAGTTTGATTAAAGCCCTTGGATGGAGCCCTATATAAGGTTGAACACAGATTTAAGAAAGATAGCTACCAGCGATTTTGAAAAGAATCTGTATAAGCTCATGAATAACTCAGTATTTGGTAAAACTATGGAGAATCTAAGGAAGCGTGTTGATGTTGAATTAGTCAGATCTAATGAGGAAGAAAGACTCAGGAAACTTATAGCCAGTCCGGCTTTTAACACAAGCAAGATATTCGATAACGACTTAGCCGCGTTGCATATGCAGAAGAGTAATATAAAATTCAACAGACCGGTGTACGTTGGTATGAGTATTCTGGACTTGTCAAAACACTTAATGTATGACTTTTATTACAATGAACTTAAGAAGCAATACGGCGATAGATGCGAGGTGTTATATACCGACACAGATTCTTTGTTGATGGAAATACAAACCGAGGATGTGTATAAAGATATGGCAGAAAAAATAGATATGTACGACACGAGCGATTACCCAAAAGATAATCCACTGCACAGCGTAGTAAATAAAAAGGTGTTAGGTAAGATAAAGGATGAATGTGCTGGGACTCCTATAGCGGAGTATGTCGGATTAAGACCTAAGATGTATTCTATAAAGAAGTCCGATAATGGGGAGATAAGAAAAGCTAAGGGTGTTAAGAAGTATGTTGTAAAAAAGCATATCAAACACGAACAGTATAAAGATTCATTATTCAACGGTAGGACGTTCAAACACGAGATGAACTCTTTAAGAAGTTACGATCATAGGATATATGGATTAAGAATGAACAAGACATCATTATCCCCCTTAGATACAAAGAGATGGATTGATAATGATGGTGTAACTACCTATGCTTATGGTTATGGTGGTAATACCGTACCGTCAGGAACTATGAACAACTCTTCTCGTACAAATGCCCTACCTGGTCCATCTTTAAGATAATAAAGAATAGGTTCTCCTTCTTTCGTAACCAATCTACTAATGTTATACGTCTTAAGGGACCATATGGGATCGGTTGCGCGACGTAGGCCTCCTTCGAGTTCACCGGGCTGGTATAAATATCTTACGCTTACTCTATCCGGAAGTTTTCGTTCTTTGCCTCTCCTCGGTGCTGAAGATTCGGAAGTCACGGATTTCATTTTAATAGCATCGGATGGTTTCTTCCCTATTAATCTCGTTACTTCATTATTCAGCGCTGATACAACGGCTGATAATCGTGTCACCCATTCGGTTGATCTCAATCGCTCGGATTTCATTTCGATCCCATGCTGATAGCCAAACAAACGTTCCGCTAATGTCCTGTTAAATCTTTCGACGATAGCTTGACTGCGGTGGGCCTCTCTTTCACCACGCCTGATTTTGACATTGTGCTTTGTTAACAGTTTTGTTATCGATCCCATAATCTCGCGACCGGGATCTACTTGAAATAGCTTAGGCCATTTTAGTGGTCCGCGTTTATATATGCGACTCAGTGCATTAGCTACTTCTGTTGAATCTTTCGAGGTTAATGGCTCAGCCTCTTTGTATCGACTAGCCACATCCACTACGGTTAAAGCGTATTTATATGTTTTGCGTTTTACTTATCGTGGGGAAGAAACAAGAGGTCAGCCTGATGAACTTCATTCGTTCTAAAAATATCAAACTTCTTCCTCGGTATATAACGCGGTACCGGTAAATATATTTGCCACATCGCTTGTTTCTTTAACCAATCCTTGGCCACATCTTGAGATACCTTAGCCGCGGTGGCTAATTTTTTTATTGCTCCTATACCTTTCCAATATCCTCGTGGGCTATAGTAAATTTTATCCATTATTAATTAATATTGATGTTTCGTTTAATACAACTCATGACTATTGGTGAATCGCATAATCATTTTGGCATAAAAAATGCCACCTGTAGTAGCAGTATAGGTATATGAATCCGGCTCCAGTGGAAGTGGTCCAGAACCCCCATTACCTATACTACTCCTTGGTCAGCTGAACATACAAACCTTAGTTCAGTGTTTCCTTGGTCAGCTGAACAAACAAACCTTAGTTTAGTGTTTCCTTGGTCAGCTGAACATACAAACCTTAGTTCAGTGTTTCCTTGGTCAGTTGAACATACAAACCTTAGTTCAGTGTTTCCTTGGTCAGTTGAACATACAAACCTTAGTTTGGTGTTTCCTTGGTCAGTTGAACATACAAAACTAAGTTCGGTGGTTCCTTGGTCAGTTGAACATACAAACCTTAGTTTGGTGTTTCCTTGGTCAGTTGAACATACAAACCTTAGTTCAGTGTTTCCTTGGTCAGTTGAACATACAAACCTTAGTTCAGGGTTTCCTTGGTCAGTTGAACAAACATACCTTAGTTTGGTGTTTCTAGCTGATATCTCTTTGTTTCCATATCGAGACCTCTTAATTGTATACTGAAATGAAACAAATTTTTGTTAAGAAAGGGAACAACAAGAAATCCTTGGAGATCTTGTATCTTCCTGGTGATTTAAAACTAACACTCCATAATAATGAAAGTTTTACGCTCTAAAGAATACCATGACATATATATTCTTTACAACATGCAACTGTGCACTAACAACATATGCATAAAATAAAATGGCATCTGGTTGAAAAAGATAATCTTTATTAGTCTCAAAAAGAATATCAAAGCTTTCTTTATCATAAGTCTGTTGAGAAACTATGACAAGAACATTACCTACAGATACGTGAAAGTAAGGTAAGTCTATCTGCAAAACTATAAACACTTTATCTACATAAACAGCCAGGAAATATTCACCTCGTTTCATCTGGAACAAAATGTGAAGAAAAGTGTGTACAAAAGAGATGGAGACGTACTTGGGTATCTCTGGTGTAGAAAACATGAAGCTCAGGGTTTTTCTGGATGACTTGGTTAACATTGGACTTGACCCGGTCATCTCCTACAACAATTTTATGCACCTGGTACTGCATACACAAAAACCGCATCACTGCATCGGGACAGTCAAACAGATCTTTCAGGAAACTGGAAAATCCGTATTTGCTGCAATAATAAACACAAACCATATCCATCTTAGTCATGGGATTAATTCTGTAATGTTTTGCTGTAACTCAGCAATTTCTGAAGGTATCAATGTTAATTTGATATGGAGCAAGCATGTGGTTTTTGGAATAACATGATACATTTTGGGGCATTCAGTCTCAACCATAGTGGGACCATGTTTTAACTTTGAGATATCTGGACAATCAAGATAACGAGGCATGGACATCCAGACAGATCAAGTAACAGTAATATAGATCCATAGCAATACACCTGCTTATATGAGAAATTAAGAACACACCACGTTTACTCGTATGTGATGACAAGTTGAAATGCATTTCGGAGGCAATGATCAATAACAATGGCAACAAATTAGCTAAAGTGTACATGTGCCCCAGTGGTGGGTTAGACATTGGTAGACTATGAGCGCCGTCTCATCCCGAACGTAACTGGAAACTTTGGTGTGCTTGTCTGTGATCTCTTCATTGAACAGAGAAGTTTCAATAAAGGCAAATGTGGTATCCTAAACCTTAAGAGTGGTTGGCCTTGATGAGCCTGTCATTCTTTGTATGTCCTCTTCCAAACTGTGACCTTGGTTTGCTACCTCACAAGCATGGATAGGAAACTCATCCTTCCTAAACTTGGGTGGCTTAAATGACGGCGCAAGTGTGAGCTTGGATGAAGTCTTCATCCAATGACCTGGTCATATCTGTCAGCATAGGGTCGGACTGAATCGATGTACGATGCGACCATATGGTGTCCTTTTTCTCCACCCTATTACCAGGGAAAGGCACAGATACGAGACGGTCCGCTACTCAATTGGGTACTTGCACTGAGCTGAGATGCGTATTCCATTCTACCGAGGAATCGCCATCTTCGCCATTTGAAGAGTCTGATGAATCATAAAGATGTTGACGTGTTTGCCCACATGGCGATGGGCTTCTGCTCTGGTGCGTAGTGCTACCTCTGACAGAGGCCTTGATGATCCGCCTGGTGATAGGGATTCATGCGTCGATATCATGTACGTGCAGGCGTACTAGTGCTGCCCAGCAATGAATGTGCTGTACCATGACTCACAATAGGCATACTGTAGACATTAGCTGCCGGAGTAGGCGCTAAGCCTTGTGCCATAGTTGTAACTGACGAAGGCGTCTGGTACAAAGCCTATGGCGTAGGCATGGGATACAGGTGTGCCATAGACTGCTGCCAAATGGGCTAAGTTGGGATTAAGAAGGATTCGTTGAATTGTGGAAGATCCCACTGTATATAGGACTACCAAATATAAAGTGAACAAAATCAGATGACAAGGCTCTGTAGTGACAAATTTGCCTTGGCATATTCTCAGATAAAGATACTCGACTGCCTAATGCCATGTGTTCATGCATCTGAAAGGCAAACATTCACATTTTTATGCCCCAGCACTTGTATAATTCAAACGTGCAACATTGATGTCTTTCAACTTTTGTATCAGGTGTTATGAGCACTGTGATTCGTCAGTCATTTGCCACCGGTCATGTTGGGTCCAGAAGTCATGTTTTTCGTTTTACTTCTAAGCTTGTTTTTTCCTATTGGTTGCCTCTTAAAGCAAATTTGACCAGGAAGAGTCTACATTTGAAAGCAGTGGCAAGATAGAAGGGACTGTCAACATTACAATAATCCCCAGGTCTGAGGGATTTGTATAACTTAAATGGATAGCCCAAAATAATTTAGCCACCAGAGTGTGTTTATTATGGATTCAGGATGACTATTGCCCAACTTACCAAATGAGCACAATTTATCTACTTCCTCATCTGTCAGGGCCTCAGACCTATTGGGTGAGTTGCCTTTACCATATCTCTTTAATTGTCTTTGTTTTGATGCAAGGACAGCTTTCATTTGCCTGAAAATGGTGTCAATTGAGAGGTATCTGCCATAATATAATTGAGCTTCTTTAATTGCCTATCAAAACAAGCAAGCATTCCATATAGTGTAGCAGGTTGATATTTGGTACCATATAATTCGGTGGGAAGAAATATATTGTATTTGTCGGTGATCATGTTCGATTGTGGCCATTGACATGTCTTAGAGCTAAAATGGATAGAATTATCATTAAACCGCCCGCATGTTATCAGAAATGAGTGGGCCACTGTAACTTACTGTATTTTCTTGAGTATAGTGCGCACCCATGTATAATGCGCACCCCCCTCTAGCGGGTTCAATATTTTGGAAAAAAAGAAATTTGAATATTATGCGCAGAAATTTTTTACACCGTACCCTTTCAGCGAAGTCCGGCAAACGAACGGGTGCTGAGAAACTTCGTCAGTACAAATTCGAAATTTGAGATAAAAAATCACCAGACATGTTTATTTACCGTTTAAATAGTATTTATTGTTCTGCTAGGCATTGTTTTATATTTAGGGATTAAGATTACCTTGCGTATTTTCTCGTAAACCAAGCTGGAAACAGCAATCAGCTGTACACACGTTTTCTTGGAATCGACCGGTGATTCGGTCAAGACACACCCAATGATATAACTTTATAAGATTTTTAATGCAAGGATCGGCAACAATTGTATCTGAAACTATTTTATTTATCAGGAATAATATATTCCATTATTTTCTTAATTATATGCAACCTTTACTAAACATATTTCAAATAATAATAACCCTAAGCGAAGCAGCTGACCGCTATTCCCGGGTATTATTTTTTACATGGAACATGTGTGACCAGTCACCGTCAAGGCTCATGCGCACGTGATCACGTGATCGCGAGAATTTCATGTTGACATAGAATCGTCAAACAAAAACAAATATGACTTTTAACGAGTCAAAGTATGTCATTTATGATATACAGTGGTCCCTCGACTTAACGCTCCTCGATGTACCGCTACTCCGGATGCACCGCGGGGTAAACCATGGCTCCCAAAAATGCATGAAGAATTTTCCCCTAAAAGCGCGTTAAAGCGCGTTAAAGCACGTTAACGCGCGTTAAAGCAAATATGGTTACAAATAAACTGATGAAATTTGTCGATGTATGTATCCATTTTCTGTCAACTAAAGTTTGTTCCAAGGCGTCAATAGCGGTATTCTGACCGTGCTTGCTGTTAATAACGGTGAGTTGTGCGATCTTCCGATCGCTTCACACACAATTTCGCCGAAATTAATAAAAACAATATTATAAGGAATTTTGAAAAAAATCAATGAAATAAGTTACAAACATAAGCCCAGATATACAAAAAACACTTTTTATAGCCAGACAGTGTAATTACATAATTATTTTGCATACTTCAGTATGGATTTGTTGACATGGTATTCCCGGTGTTTCGTGCTCACGGTAATGTCTTTCCATGGGGGAAAAAAACATCCAATTTCATAATTCGTGTATAATGCGCACCCCCTTCTACACAGCTGTGTTTTTAAAAAAAAAAGTGCGCACTATACTCAAGAAATTACGGTAATAATGCGCTCATATTGCTTAAAACGGGCCATTATCACATCCGTTGCTAGGTGAAGTCATAGGATAGGTGACGTCACGTTCAATAGTGACGTCATCTGGTTTGTTCTATGATGTTTCCATATTTGTAAAGGTGGGTCATTGACATTCCTGTTGATTGCAGAAAATGTTTCAAAAACGATATTGTTGTTTCTTTTTATTTGGCAACAAATTCTATCCATTTTAGCTATATTATGGCTAATGCTATTTTTCAGGGCATTATCATTTGCAGAAGCCCTCAGTCTTCGTCAGGCACTTAATTGAAGACCTTAAGCTTCTGCAAATGATAATGCCCTGAAAAATAGTGTTACCCTTATAAATTCATGTTCCAGCAAGGTTAACAGGTACTTCAAAAGATCACACTTGCAGACTTTTTATGACAGTGGCACACACCCAGCCATAACACTAATTTCAACCAGCATCATGTTGTATATTATTAGGATTACATACCTTTATGAAGTGTTTTTACAGAATCAAGTATAACAGTAAATTCCAACTTTAGTCACGTCAGTCATGTTTACAGTCGCGATCTTGGAACTTCTGACATCACGGTTGCGTATCATGTGACCTTAGGTCATCTATGATTAGTCCTGTCAAGGTTAACTTCGGAGTGGCAATTTTTACTTTGACAGTCTTGGGTTCCAGGGTTTTGTCACGGCTAAATTCTATTTTTCGCATTCCAAGAGATTTTTATGGTATAGCTTTAAATTTAAATGGCCATCATTAATACAAGGTCTGCTCTCTAAGTATTTGATCACGGATCAGTGATTATTTACCTCTGTGGACATCTGGATGACGTCTGACAGTTCCGATATTCCGACAGCAATTCCGGATTCATTCCGACAGAATATTCCAATATTCAAGCATACAAGTTACAGTTATCACAAGTTGCAAGTGATTTGTCATTCGTATAAACTATTACATTTTACAGACTATATTTAGATGTTTTGACAATCATCCATTTTCATCGCGATCCTGAAGGACCAGATTGTTTACATTATCAAGTTGCGTGATGATGCCATCACTGTCGAGGGTTTTTATCTACCGATGTTTACAGAGATCGTTCCAGAATTGACCCTATATATTTAATTCCAAGCTTTAATTAGGATTTAACTCGAGCTTACTTATATCTCATTTTGATAACTCTCAGAGGTTGGCCTCATTGTCATCCATTCTGGGTCACATGACTTCCAGAATGTATTGTTTACATTACATGGATCCAGTACCGGTTGCAGCCAAGTTCATACACTTTAAAGTTTCAAAGTTTATTGTACATTTCAATTGTTTTAACAGTTCAGATATATCAATCCTGGGATGGATACAGACAAGTACCGGATTCTAGAGCCACGATGTAGCAACAAACGCAGAGCGACTGATGTTTCCAGTACAGTTGACAGCCAGTATCGCATCTTGCGATCTCAAGGACAAGTACAAGATTTTTCAGTTCATTGAATAATTAATAAACTCGTTATTGAACTTAACCTACTTGTCGTGTGATGCTTCTGCATTTGACAAAGTTTCGACATTCGTAA